CCTTTTCAAGAATTCCCTCGATTTCCAGTCTATTCAATTCTTTTATCACCTTTGGTAAAATAGAGAATGTGGCACTCCTAGCTGTTGTTACACAGTAGGGTAAAGCATCTGTTTTCATAACTAGGTCTTTCGACATATATCTGCCAAGGTCAAATGAAGTTCCTTGTGCTATTTTGTCTAAACGTTTCACTAAATTCATTTTTATATCCATTCACCTAGACAATAAATTCTCTCCCTTTACACATTTAATGATATATATTTCCAAATATTTGTTCTTACCTTCTTTTTTAGTGGTATTGAATTCTCCAGTGCACTGGACTATTTCTCCAGGATTTGTAAAGGTGCCATTTACTAGCTTTAATAAAGATTTTTCTCTCAGATTTTTGTAAGTTTTGGTTGAGATAATGTTTATGTCAACAACTGTATTGATTTTAAACCTCACTGCTGTTTTACAAATTTTTATATCACGGGTCATTTAAATCTGTTTCTATTAAATCTCTTAGAAAAATTTTATTTTTATTTTCATTTACTGTTTGTATTGTATTAGTTTTAGTTTTGCAGGCTACAGTGAAATGATTCATTCATTTTTTTCACATTTCTTGCAATGTTTTCTTGTGCTGGACAGTTTTTTAAATCAAGCTTTTTGTTACAGTTGTCACTGTTTTTTTCCACTTTTTCTTTTTGTATCTTGTGGGGTTTCTCTGGGTCTTTAGTATGTCTACATTTCCCTTGTGCATTTCTTCCATTTGAGATTTTATTTGCTCACTGCACCAGGCTATCTCTGTAGCTTTCTTAAGTTTCAAATCAGGAATTAGTTGTAATCTTTTGGATAGGTCCTTATTCTGTAGCCCTATCACAAGACGGTCTCTGATTCAGTCATTTTTCTTTGGAAACTCACATGCTTTTGTTAATTTGTGTAATGCATGAATAAAGATTTCTATTGGTCTTCCTGGTAACTGAACTCTAAGATAAAATTTTACCCTTTCATAAATTATATATCTTTTAGATATGAAGAAGGCATTGAATTTTTCCAAAACTGAATCATACACAATTGCATCTTCTTGTTGTGAGAAAGAAGATGTCCAAAATGTATTTTCAACTTTGCTTCCCATGCAATATATTAATGCTTTGATTTGAGTTTTGTTATCTTCTTCCCAGAGTTTTGATACTTTTCGAAAGTATTGGAATCTCTGCAACCATTTCTGTCAATTTCCAGGATTTGTAAAGTCAAATGGTCCTGGTGTAGTTAATTTGAACATTTTTTTGTCTTTTTAAAATTTTTTTTTTTTTCGAATTGGGTCCTGTTGTACTAGAAAATGATTTTCTTCTTTTAGAAAGAATCCTTCTCTGACACCATATTTCACTGGGCTTAGGGTGGAAGGGTAAATTATATGAGACTGACCACTGTAAAGTCAAAGCAAGACAAGACGTAAACTCAACAATTTTATTCAAAACTGCTGCTGGATCCATTTTGCTTCTGGCATTCTTGAGTGGGATTGGAAGTGCTTACAATAATCAACATTACTGATGTTGTTATAAACAGCTCGTTCCTCTATTAGTTATTTTGTTAGCATGTGAATTACACCTTGTAATTCTTTGCCTGTTACTGCCCCAAAGTTCTTGGTAGAGCAGTAGAGGACAGAGTAAATCCTTAACTCTTTTATTTACTTCCACTCTTTGGAATGTTGAAGCAGTATATATGTGTTGCTAAAAATAAAATTATTGAAACAAATCATGTGTTGAGAATGTACTTATTTCATCCCCTGCCATTACCTCAGATAGGACAATTCTATTTTGATGGTGAGGAAAGACAAAAGAAAAAGATATATCAGAAATGTTGTTCTGTTTTAATGAGAAAGAGAAAGCAGACATAGAAAGAAAGGGAATATAAAGGAGGTGATAACTTGTCAATTTTTAATCTTTTCTTTTGTAACTTCTTACTTCTCCAAATAATGACCTGTGGGGTTGAATCAATACATTAAAATATAAAATACAGCAGAATTGTCAGAGATTTCCACTAGTGAAGAATAAAAATTATAATAAACCATCTTGTACAATAATTCTCTTAGATTGTAGCATGCTATGTAGCTGAAATAGTTATGTCGCACCAGTGTTAGAGACTTGTGTTGAAGCCTCAGTCAAAGCCAATATTTCTAATTCTGATTTTTAAGGCAAGCAGGGCTAAACCTCAGCCTGAATACAATCATCTTCTTTTTCTCATTCCCTTCACATTTACTTTAGATTTTAAATATTAACATATGACCTGCCTCGTGGCTGATACAGTTCTGTAAATCTCACTGTTAGAGAAAGTCTCAGTCAAAATAAAATCCAAGATTGTCTATGCTGATTTTCAAAGCAATAATATATATCTTAAAATTCCTACATCGATTTAGCTTTGTACCTTATTATTCATTCAAAAATCTTTTTCTAAGTGCTCCAGGATATGTGCATTCCCAGATTTCTATGCTTCAAAGCTATAAATAATGTTTGTCTCCTTATTATATCTCTCCCACTCTCAATTATGCAACCTATTTACACAAGCTAGATAGATAAGTTACTTGGTTTTACTGCTGATCCGCAATATTTTATGAGTGTACCAAATTCTCCAAGCCAACTTTTCTAATTATGTGTCCAAAAAATATAAGTGTTCTTTTTATTCACTTATTCCTGATTAATTCCTCTTTGTCCACCTGTTTCATTCATATTATTGTCAGTATCCTTCTGTAGAACATCTCTGTTACCACAAATCACCTCTTCAGCTGTGAACATTCACTACCATATAGGAAAACTGATCTTACATACTAGTTCGTTCTGTGTTTCTAATGGAATTTCCCTCTTAATGTTTTTTTTTATGTTTTGGAAGGCATCTTTTTCACGATACTAAATGTAAGATCAAAACTAATAGTGAATACACTTTGTTTATATATTTCTTCCTTCACACTATTAATTCAGTGATCTCACTATTTGTTGTCGCTTTGGTAGGGGCAAAAAATAAAGTCACAAAGAAAGGAATTGAGTTAAACAAATATATTAACAGAAACAGTAATACAAACATAAACAAATGAGAGTGTTACAGCAAGAATGTTCGGTCTGACTGTCAGAGCTGACTGCTGGAAAACTTCACCCAACAAAAGGCAGTACCTGCTCCTATTTATAGCTGGGAGAGTCCATGTGTGAGTGGGTAAATTACCATAACACTATTGATTCACTTTAAAATTCTTAAAAATTAAAATAAATATTTAGAACATTAACTAAGTTAAAATTTACAATTAAATCTTTTTCTTCTTTTATTTTTTTTTAATCAGATGGCCGGCAACTGAAGTGGCTCCTTTGTTATTTATAAGATGCAAGGAAGGTAATTAGCAAACCTGTAGGACAAAAAATAAGATCTATCAAAGGGTGGAAGAACTCTTGATGAGTCAACAGCCATCTAATTAGAGGTGTTGTCTCAACAAAGTCACTGTAGAGAAGGTAACTGGAAAAAATTCCATGATCAGTCCAAAAAAAATACATGATATGCTTAGCTAGGCTCAGTAAACAGCAACAGAATACTTACCATGAAATGATAGGAAACTTGTTTTGCAGGCTAATTTGTTAGTGTAATGATTTTAATTCTCATTGGGAGCTCACACACTTATGGCCTTGTGCTGCACTAACCTAAGCTTAGTAAATATCAATAATTATGATTTAAAATAAAATAGTGGCAGAAACAATGTAAACAATTTTTCAGCTTATAAATTGCAAGCCTTATTTTAATGGACATATTCAATACTTAAAGTAAAATGTTATTTCAACAGAAAGGTCAAGTACTTTTTCTTTTTAAACATTATTATAATATTTATTCCTCATAATGACTGCTTAGTGATAACTTTAGTTACTATTAACAAAAGGTTTATACAGTTTATACTCTTTAGCAGGAGACACATTGTAGAGAAAGAGTTAAAGTTATTAAAAGAAAATTGAATAGCAGAAAGCATTACAAGAAATAAAAAGATAAATAAGTTAAGAAAATAATGGAATAGAGAGAGAGAGAGAGAGAAAAGAGGAAAGAAAGAAAAAGACACAGAAAAAAAAAGAGATAGAAGAGGGAAAAAGTAAAGAAATGTGAGAAAAAGCAGAGAAAATAAAAACAAACAAAAAGGAGATTGAGGAAAAATGAAAGAAAAAAATGAAAGAAACTGAAATTAATTTTGTAAATGAGAGAAAATAATAGCAAAAATAATTAGACAAAAAGGCAGAGAAAAGAAAAAAAGACAGAAGAGAGAAACAACAAAAAAAATCAAAGATAAAAATAAAAGAGAGGAAACAAGAGAGATACAGAAAAAGGAATAGAAAAAAGAGAAGAAATGAGAGAAAATAAGAATAACAGAATAATGAGAGAGAGTGAAAAGAAGAGAAAAAAAAGAAGAGAAAAAAAAGATAGAAAACAAGAAAATAAAGGAAACAAAGAAAATAAAACAGAAGACATAAGTGTGATAAAAGAGAGAAAATAAAAAAATCAGAGGGAAAAATGCATTAAAGAAGACTAAAATAAATATTTTTTATAAATTTTATAAATACAAAAAGAAAGAAAAAATGGAGAGAGATATAAAAGATGAAGGAAAGACATGATTTTTCTGCCTCCTGAAAAGTTAGAGAAAGTAAAAAGTAAAAAAAGGTTATTTTTTTTAAATCATAGAAGCATCAAACTGAATAAAATGAGTGAGAAATAAAAGGAAAACAATCATTGTTTTAGAATAAAGCAAAATAAATGATAATAAAAGAAAGAATTTAAACAAAATTTTGTGAAATATGTTGGAGAGAATGAAATCTCAAAATGGCTCAAAGAGCCTTATTTCTTAATTTTCTCACTATCAAAATAAAAAAAAAATGAAACCTTATCTTTTCTTCTCACCACAAAGTAGCTATTTTTTCATGTTGTTAAGAAAGCAGTTCCAATCATAAAAACATTTCCATTATTAGTGTTTGAATCTTTGGCTTCCATTTTCTTTTGTGTATGTATGTTTCATTTTCACTTTTTCTTTCACATTGTATTTACTAATGTCTTAAATTTATTCCATTTTTATCTCTCGTACTTCACTGGATATTTATTATTATTTCTTTTTCTTTTTTTCATTTCATCAATTGTTTGTTTTCTTTTATTTGAAGTAATTTTTATAGTTTTTTTTCAAATTAATTTTTTTTCTTTTCATTTGTTTCCTCTTTTATTTTCCTTCTTTTTTTTCATTGTTCCTGTCATTTTTTCTTCCTCTCTTTCTTTGTCACAAATTTTCTTACTTTTGATTTTTTATCATTTTCTCCCTTTTTATCATTTTCTTTTTCTATTTGTTTCTCTTACTTTTTGTACACTTTCTGCTAAGTTTTTTTTTTTTTATTTGTAGTGTTTCACTTTTCTTCTGAAAACACTCTAACCTTTTAATTTGTCATTCTTTTTTTTTTTTTTCATTCTGTGCTTATTCTTTCATTTTTCACCATCTTTATATTCTATATTTCTTCCTTTCTACTATTTGTCTCTTCATTTTCTTTTTTTAGGCTGAGTTTTTCTTTTTTGATGTTTACATTCTATATTCCTATTTTTTTTTTTTGCATTCCGTTTTTTTACTTTCTTTCCTATTTTCTCTTCCTATGTAGATATTTTTAATTTCTTATCTTTTTCTTCTGTTGCTTTTTTTTTGTTTTACATAATTTCTAATTTCCTTTTGCTTTCTTCTCACTTCATTTTTACAGTTATATTCATTCTTTACAAAAACAAAATGGATTAAGAATTCACCCCAGGATTACAACATCAATATTTTTGCTCACCTTTCTGACACTTTTCTTATTTAGAACAAAAAACAATCAAAAACAAGAAATAAACAATAAAACACAATATATATGCACAAAAATAAGTAAACAAATAAAAAAAATTGTTTATTTCTTTTTAAATATTATGAATGGAGACCTGCAAGGAAGGTCAGGTAAATGAGAAACAGTTTCTTTTTTTTTAATATTTTTATCCTGAAAAGTTATCTTTTATCTCAATTTCATTTTTAATGTACTTTTGTCGGTCAACAGCATAGCATGTGAAACATTTTACTATTTATCATTGATGGAATTTTAAAAATTTAATCTGAAATATTTTTAAATGAATGAATAATAAGGAATAATATAAGAGGTATGCCAACGTCATCAGTGCAAAAATACAATCTCTGCTCTTTTTCTTTCTTTCCTATATTTTTAAAAATAATAACAATAATAATCGTAACAAACGTTTTGTTTCTTCCCTCTGTCAGAAACCCTGAAAGATTTTGTTTCTGTCGCTAGAAATTAGACAGAAAATCTGAAAGGCCACAAAACAATTGCCAGAAAAGCTTTTCTTTTTATTGTCATCCAGTTCCTTCAGATATATTTGGGAATGAATGCTTTCGCATGTTGCAATATTTGTTCATTTACTTGGGACACAGCGTTAATTTAAATTGATGTCAGAGGCGATGAGGAACTTGTGCTATTGCAGCAAAAGCATGTCAAGCATTTTGAGGTATACAATCAGGGATGCCTTCCAATTTAAAAAAAAAAATCAAACCCTCAGTCAGGTGATCAAGGTTAAAATTACTTCTGAGCTTTTTGCATTAATCTTTAATGGCAATTTCTTTTAATTCTTTTTTTTATTGTTTTTTCTCTCTTTCCCTCCCTCTTTTAATAATTTGGATTTCTCTTTTTTTTTTGTTCTCTTTCTTCTTATTTCTCTCTTATCTTTAACTCTCAGGTTTTGCTATTTCTCTTTCTCTCTCTTTGTCACTCTTTCTATCTAGTGTTTTATCAGTCTTTCTTTGTTGCTTTTCACATTATTTATTGCTCTTTCTCTATTTTATTATTTTCTCTTATAGCTCTCATTCTTTTTTATTCTTTTATTGCTCTCTCACTTTTTCACTTTCACTGCTCATTTTCTTCTTGTTACTCTCTCTTATCTATGTTTTAGTTTTTTTTTATTTTCTATTTTATTGTTCTCATTTTTTTGTTGCTCTTTCTCATTGTTTCTCTTTCTTTTTGTTACCTATTTTTAGTTATCTCTCTCTCTCTATATATATTTTTATAACTCTTTGTTTTTATAGATCTTTTTTTCTTTTTCTAGCAGTTTATCACTCTCTTTCTATTTATAGATCTTTTGTTATTATTATTTTCCCCACTATTTTTATTGTTTTTTTTTCTCTCTTACTCTTGTACCTCTTACCCCTTTTAAAATGTTATTATTTCTCTCTCTCTCTCTTATAACTAATTTTTGTCTTTATTGCTCTCCCCCTCTCTCTAAACACAAAGCTTGATCTGCTTTATCCTTAACTGACTTAAATTTACTGGTGAGACCCACTCTCTTTTATTGAAGAAGTTATAATGTTGTTTGGAAAGTAATGTTGGTTTTTAAAGACAGAATATAACTCCCAAATCAAAGAGGATTTTATCTATGAAAAATATCCCCGATGGCAAATGACTGGAATTCTATATCTGTCCAAACGTCTAACTGTGGCACTGATCTTTTATATCAGTAATCAGTGTGGGTCAAAAGTAGGCTTACAGTTGTTTCACTATTTGTTTCATGTTCTAGATCTAATTTATCCAAATTATAACTTTGCTCAACTGTTCTTTCAGCAGGTTGGAGCACCTCCTCATTATTCTTTCACAGTAAGGGACTACCTTAATAAAACCTTTCGACAGTGTTGATTTGGAAGAAGGGGCAGCATTGAATGGCCACTACATTCACGTGACCTAACACAATGGAATTTTTTTTGGGGGGGGGGGGTAGTAAAGAACAAGGTTTATGAAAGAAATCCCCACACAGTGGATGAATTAAAACAGTACATCTGAGAAGTATTTATTGAATTTGATGCAGATCGAGATTTGTGTCATACTGTGTGCAATAGTGCCCTGAAGAGGTTGGAGGAATGTTGCAATGTTGAAGGAAGACATTTTCAACTTTTAAGAGATTAAACTGTGCTAAAAAAATGTTAGTAAAGTGTTAAACAAATGTATATAAACAGTTTTCAACAAATATGATTGTAACAAATAAATATAAATATAATGTTTTTTTTAAAAAAAATGCAAACTGCAGAAGTGTAAGCCTTCTTTTAGCTCATCCTGTATTTGATCTTGATAACATCAGCACAAAAATACATGTCAAATTCATTAACCTTTTTAAAAAGTATAACATTACAAAACAATGATAGTTGTACCTTCTTTGCTTTTACTGATGCAAATTGGTTGGTGTTCAAAGTTCTTTTCATTAGGGCAAGGTCACACAGTCTGTCTTCACCTATGTATTTTTCATAATTCATATAAGTGTTTTAACAATCTGACTATTTCAATCACATGGTAATCAAAAGGAGATCATTATTTCTCCATCACATTCATCCTCATCAGTCCCATGACTGGGTGGGATCATAGGGTTTCTGTGCAGCTGGACATCTGAATAATTTTCACCACATACCTGGTTTGAAGGTCAGAGAGATATTCATTCATGCATAACATATCAGAGCTTTTCTCTTTCCAGGTTAAACTACAGCCAGTGTCCTCCAACTTGAAGGGTCACCTTGGTCATAGCCATTGATTCCAGCACGGTAACACTGGCTGCTGACTTCACTCTAGGAAGCCGTCTGCCCAGCAGTGCTATGTCCTCACTGTATTAGCTGCATACATAGTTGTCAAGTAGAGTCTACACCATTGTGCAAGATAACCATTGATCTTACCAGAAACTTATTTTGACAGGTTTCATTTTTAATCTTGCTGAGTGTCTAGCTGCTCTCATACCAAGAATTCAAAAGATGGACCAAGTAAGCAAAAAATAACTCTTAAAGAAAATTGAAATAAAAAGAACACATACTCAGAATCAGAAGAGACAGCAGTGGAAATTTCTTGGATACATGAGGAAGGTTGACTTGGAAACTTAAAACTCGCAAGGCATATTGAGGGTAAGAGAGAAGGGAGCAGGGCACTTATGTGACAAGTCTGAGTGAATGGATGGTGGAATGGAGAACAGGAGCCTTGGCAATGGGAGAAACTACAAAAGGCCACAAGGGATAGGAAGTTTTGGAGAGCCATGTTTGCCCATGTCCTGAAAGGATGTGGCACATAGAAGAAGAAGAAGTGTTTATCAATGTTATAGACAAGCGTATGGTTGCAAGAAAGAAATACGACAACAGTAGAAATAGATTTACATGGTTTATTTCAACAGGAACGTGAGGGTTCGGGACAGCTACCTTGGTGTGGTAAAGTTCATAAGCCGGCCTTTGGATCTAGGTCGATCTCTCATAGTAGATCACACATGTTGACGGTGGTTGATGCTCTCCTGTTGACAGCTGCTGAACGTGACCCGGTCTCCTTTGTGGCCACCTGTTGACTGCTGCTGAACTTCCCTGTGCCCACTTTTATAGCGTTTTTTTATGGCTTAACAGGCTCGAGAAACGAAGCGAGTATAATTAGGAGGGAAGCATTTTTATTGGACGAAAAATAGAACACTTTAATTATTAATTTATTTTTCCATCGGAACACGTGTGTCGGAAACATTTGTAAAGAAAGTTAATGGTCATTTTGTGATGGGGCTTTGTTCCGTTCACATCCGGTTCTCGCTCTTGGGTGTTTGCCTGTAAATCAGCCGAGATATGTCATTTTATTTTATAACATCAAGAACAAAATCTTTATTTTCAGCAATGAAGAAAAGTCTTTTTGATATTAGTTCTATTAGTCTTTAAACAGTATTGGTTACCTTTATTTTATTGTTGCTTTTTTATCACAACACACTAAGTCAATACATTCTCCAACCGCTGAACACTCCTAACAACCAATCCTTTATTTTGATTTCTCATTTCTCTAAACATTATATTTTGTAGATACATGGGTTTGAGTAAACAACTATGTTTTTTCTTTAATCAAAGTTTACTGGCTTGGGTATTTTGAGAGTCATTAACAAACAGGAATGTATCCTTCAATTGAGTTTGAACCTGCATCATTTTTATATATGGGGAAACCACTGTATAGCCCCACATACTTTTTAGATGCATTGTACAGTGGTTTGCACTAAATATAACATTTATAGCAATGAAAAATAATGTTGGATTAAAACGTTCATTAACTCTTTAGAAATATATATATATATATATATATATATATATATATATATATATATATATATATATATATATTAGTAGTATTAATAATCTTATAAGTATAAGAAATTATACTCGTTTGGAAAACCTTCAGTGTCTTGATTTGCAAATCATGAAACCAATACCAAAGGGAAAAAAAAGGTATGAAAAAAGAAAGAACAAAGAACATGTACGTTAGCCAAAATTAATCGTCCAGCAAGCAAGTCCATAGACCAAAGAAAAAAAACCCGATACAAATGAGCAAAATAACTAAATAAAAGAGCTCAATACAGTAGAGCTGACGAAGTTAAACCTAGAGAGCCAGACAAATTTATTAAGGTTTCACCTAAGCGGATCGTCAGGGAAAGCTTTCCTGATGATCTGCTTAGGTGAAACCTTGGTAGGTGTGTCTCTCTAGGTTTAACTATATATATATATATATATATATATATATATATATATATATATATATATATGTATATAAATAAAAAGAAAGAACAGTAAGATATAAAATCCAGTGTTCTTGTAGATATTTTTATTTTTTATTTTTTTATTTTTACAAAATAGTGCTCAATGTAAATTTACAGAGCATTAATATTATAAATTAATTGATTTAAAATATGGGTTTTTTTTGCTACACAGTTCCAACCATGTTTCAAAAATAGAAGCTAAAAACCCCGAATTTAATTTTGCAATTAAATTAAGAGCATTAGTTCCATTTCATCTTCAAGCGAATTCTGGAGTAACTTTTAAAAATTACCGGGTTTTAAAGACACAGCTAAAATCACGTTTCCATGGTTACAGAATATTCTACTTAAATTGAACAAGGGATGTCTAGATTTTCCTTATGTCAGTATCATTGCATCAGTTATTAGCTACAATTTGGTAAGGGGTAGGGATGTATTTTACAATGAAACCTGACATCAGTTCAATGGATGTCGTCTGGATTTAAAAAAAAAAAAAAAGTATATATATATAATGCTCCACACTGACATTATCACTTGGATTTTCATGCACTATGCAATCATCAGGTATAAATTAACTGGCCGTCATCTGGTTAAAATTTCTGGGTCTCATGGTGATAGTTGGATAAATTATTACTATTATTAAATATTTAATTGTACTATAATCTAAATTTAAATTTAGGTTCAAACTTGCACTTATAATTAAAAATTAAAAATGTGTGTTAAAAAGTGTAAAAACTATATTTCAAGCAGGTAACTCTTTTTTTTTTTTTTTTTTTTTTTTGGCCCAGGGTAATGTTGTGGCTTTGTTAGGGCCAGAAACAGACACAAGAGAGGAATTGAGTTAAACAAATATATTAACAGAAACAGTTAATGCAAACATATACAAATGCGAGTGTTACAGCAAGTATGTTCAGACCAACTGCCAGAGCTGACTGCTGGAAACTTCCTTCCCAAAACGCAGTAGCTGGGAGAGTCAATGCATGTGTAGGTAAATTACAATAACAGGTAATAAAGGTGATATCTTATCTTATCTTATCTTACTTACTATAAAACGCAGATTGTGTGTGTGTGTCTGTAACGTTTATATATTGGATCGAATTTCCTACATTTTTCAACCGATTTCAACAAAACTTCACAGGACTACATAAAATTACCTTGCGGTGGTTCTAACAGCGCCAAAAATGGCAAAAACTCAATTGTTTTTTGCAGAAAATCAATTTGAAAACACGATTAAGAGGCATTAATGAAAGGGGGACAACTCACATCAGCTTAAAAAACGCAGGTTGTTTGTTTGTGTGTGTATGTGTGTGTGTTCATTTATATATGGGATCGGATTTCCTATAATTTTTAACCGATTTCAACAAAACTTCACTTTTTGGGGGGGCAGGTAGTGTTTCTTATTTTCTTGCGCACTTTTTTCTTTATTTTTACATTCAGAATGCTTTAAAAATTCCATTTACAAGACAATTGTTTATAATAAAAAATTCTATTCAATTGGTAGATCCATAACGATTGAAAACAATGTTTTTGTTTGAGTTTAGGTTTCGTAAAAAAAAAACTAATTAAGACATGCGTGTCCGTCAACCTTAAACAATAATCTAACGATCTCTACTGATTGTACGAATCCAAACATATTATAATTCTTTAGGGCCGTTTTTATAATTCCCTTTGCAATTTGGTACAAGGCAACGATAATGAATTGGTTCTATTTGAAATTAATTCAATATTTAAAAGAAAGTATTAAGAAATAATTTAAAAATGCCGACGTAAGAAATCTGATAGACAAAAATATTTCGAAGATGAAAATTATTTAAGGAAAGAACACAGTACTTAACTTGTACCCGACTTTTCTGCTAAATTCCTTTTTTTTTTTTTTTTTTTGGTTCCTGCAGGTAAGTCTTTTACGAGGGGCTTCTGTATGTCTTGCTTAAGGGTTTACGAGAATTTTCGTCGTTTCATCAACGAACTTCGACTCATAATTGACATTTTAAACTTTAATAATTGTCCACACGTTGGTGCTTTTCGGGCGCCAAGGTCATCCGCCTCCTCCTCTTACGGACGGCCTCCATACACGCACTAACGCAACAGGATACGCAATATTCGCTAAGAGAGAGAGGGGGTATTCTCACTCTCTCTTCTTTCACCTAAGGTTTGTGTTGAGAGGGGACGGTCACTATTACCGACCTTTCCCCTACATTAATGATAGCGATATCTACCGTGATTTCCTCTTTCGCTGGCCGATTTTTTAATAGAGAGTGGAACGTCACTCAAGGTCAACCATCTCTACTGCGTGACTCGGGCGTGCTTTCACACGTTTGCGTTTATTGTTGCCCACGTGCACGTATTTGGTCTACTTTATTCGCCAACTTCGGATACCGCAATTTGTTATTACGTGTTCTAGCTGCTTTTTTGTTTTATAGTTCCAACCCAACCCTACACACGTTAGCCAATTGTACTAAAATCCATTTCCTTTTGGATTTACCCTTGGTATACCTTTTAAATTTCCACTTTTTTAGTTTCGAGTTCCCCTTTAGTAACATCTGAACTCATTTTACTGGGTGTTCCCCTTTTTGTGTCTATGTTAGCAGTGCACGATTTTTGGATTTGTCGAAATCTCTTTTTAAGCTTTACCCTCTTTGACGTTTTTACTGTTTGGATGCCACCTAAAAGGAGGAAACTTTTGGGACGGCGCACGGCAGCTGCCTCCGCTGCTAGAGCAGCGAGGGCGAGTGAAACCCCTGAACAGACTTCTTTGCGTCTTTCACAGATGGCCTCGAGCTCAGCTGCTCGCTTATCCATGGAAAGTGCCGCTGCGCGGACTGAAAGGTTGGCTTCAGCGGCTTCAACTATGTCCTCACGCCGCGCCAGGCTTTCAGTTGAAGAACGTTCACTTCAGAATTCACAGGGCGCAGTCCGCGTGGCTAGCTTGAGGGCTTCACAGTCCCCAGCACAGAAAACCCTTCGTCGTTTGCGTGATGCCATCATCAAAGCTTGCTCCAGGAGTTTAGAAAGCCCCGAACAAACAACTTCACGTCGTCATAGGAATACTAGGGCTACAGCCGCCTCTAGAGCTTTGGAACAACCTCAAGAAACTGCTCATCGTCGCTTTAGAAATGCCCTATCCACCGCATCTGCTAGAGCCCTAGAAAGCCCTGCACAGACCACTGTTCGTCGCGTTAAAAATGCCCGCTCTACTGCATCTGCCAGGGTTGCAGAAAACTCTGAAGTACGCCGTCAACAGCTCGAAAACATTAGCCAAATTCGAGCTTCTTTGAATGGCGTAACTTCGCCGTCTGCATCATTTTGGTCAAATGTCGCATACAATTATGACTGCACTGTCAACTATTCCGCTAGGAGAGACGTACAAATAGGGGCCATGGATAAAGTTTGCACAAGTGGGCCGGTGCGCAACCTGGGCTTTGTTGCTCTGGGGGCAAAATCAAACTCCATTCTTTAGATGAGCCTCCCCAGCCACTTAGGGACCTCCTTCTGGGTACAACTTCGGAGTCAACGCATTTTCTTGAAGCAATACGGAAGTATAACTGTTGCTTCCAGATGATGTCTTTTGGTGCGAAGGCTATTAGTGAAGGGGGGATGGATGCCTACTTTCAAAGTGCAAGGCCAGGTTTACCCTTAATGGGATCACTTTTTGGCTGATCAGGAGAGCCACCTCAGTTCCTACAAATTTACTTTCTCGCAGACTACAACGAGCAGGTTGATGTGCGTCTCGGCATTCTGCCTAGCGATATTTCCATCGGTCCCCGTAGAGACATTCTGTTCTGTTTACAAGACATGTTTCACGAAACTAACAGTTACATCCGAAGCTTAAAGTTTGCGTTGCAAAACAACTCTTTGCCCTCTTTCAGTGTTGTCATCGATGCAGACAGACGGCCTCACGGTGAGCATGAGCGTCGCTTCAATGCTCCTGTATGTAATGAAATTGCCGCAGTCATCCACGGTGAGGAGCATAACAGCCGTGACATTGTCATAAAATACCGGGGCCGTGGTCTGCGCCGCATCAGTGAAACCCACCGTTCATACGACTGTCTCCAGTATCCCCTTCTTTTTCCATACGGAAGTGATGGGTACCACTTCAAAATCCCAATATGCCAGGCAAGCAGCGATTCCATGTCGACCTCAAAGACAGTCTCCTGTAGGGCTTACTACGCCTTCATGTTTATGGTTAGGGAGGGTGAATTTAACCACTTGTACAAGTGCCGTCAACTATTTCTTCAATTCGCTGTTGACATGGCTGCAAAAATGGAGTCGGAAAGGTTAGGATTCATCAAGTTAAACCAATCCAAACTTCGAACTGACTCCTACATTCACCTTCGTGATGGTCTGCGTTCTGATGGTGACCCACGCAATCTCGGCAAACCGTGTATTTTGCCTTCCTCTTACACTGGTGGCCCTCGATACATGCATGAAAGGACACAAGACGCAATGACCTATGTCCGTCATTGTGGGAGGCCTGATTTGTTCATCACGTTCACGTGCAATCCGAAATGGGTTGATATTACACGCGAACTTTTTCCAGGGCAGCAGTACTCACACCGCCCCTGACCTAATTGCCCGCGTTTTCCGGTTACAGCTGCGTAAGCTTATGGATTTGATCCTTAAAGGGCAAGTCTTCGGACGCGCCAAGTGTCATATGTACACAGTGGAATGACAGAAACGCGGTTTGCCTCATGCCCACATCCTGCTGTGGCTCAACGATAAGGTTGACGCAAACAAAATAGACGATTTTATTTCTGCTGAAATTCCGGATCCTGCGCTGGAGCGTTTGCTCCACGAAATCATTAAAAAAAATATGATACACGGCCCCTGTGGTGCGAATTACGAAAAAAGTTCATGTTGGTCAAGCGGCCCCACTTGCGCAAAGGTTTATCCCCGTAAGTTTATCTAAAAAATGCAGACTGCGACGGATGGTTACCCACTGTACAGACGTAGAAGCCCCGCTGAGGGCGGCAGAACTGTGACAGTTAAGGGGCACTCTGGACAATAGTTGGGTGGTGCCTTATTGCCCGCTGCTGTCCAAGACTTTTGGAGCCCACATAAACGTTGAATACTGCCACTCGGTTAAGTCAATAAAGTACATCTGCTAGTACGTTAATAAAGGCAGCGATGCTGCCGTCTTTGGTATCCGGCGCGACAATTGCGTTGACGAGGTGGCCGATTACGTGGCTGGACGCTATCTCAGCAGTAGCGAGGCCTTTTGGCGAATTTTCGGATTCCCCATACACCAAAGGGCTCCAGCCATTGTGCAGTTTGCTGTTCACTTAGAAAATGGACAGAGGATGTACTTCACTGAACAAAACGCCCATCAGGTTGCGGAAAACCCTAAAGACACAACCCTAATGGCTTTCTTTAAATTATGCTCAACAGATGCTTTTGCCAAAACATTGATATACCCCCAAGTCCCGTCCTACTATGTGTGGTCAAACAACCGGTGGGTTCGACGAAAGGCTGGTGACCCTGTCGAGGGTTATCCCGATGTAACTTTTGCCTTGGAAGCGTTTATACTGTGCCCCCCAGCCAGCAGGAGTGCTTTTACCTCCGCCTTCTACTTCATGAAATTGCTGGGCCAACGATTTTCACAGATATTCGCACTGTCAAAGACATAGAATGCCAGTCTTATAGAGAGGCATGCTTCCGTTTGGGATTGCTTGAAGACGACTCCCAATGGGATGCAGCCATGGCGGAGGCTGAACTTCTCAGAACGCCATCACGGCTTCGAACGCTATTCGCCATTTTGCTTTTGCGATGCGAACTAAGCGATCCTCTGTCGCTCTGGCTAAAGTACAGAGAATCCATGTCAGAGGATGTGCTGTTCTCCGTTCAGCATAACAGCCCAGGAGTTGAATGCGGTTTCACTGACTTTATATTCAACAGAGCGCTGGTGGCCCTAGAAAATGTTGTTTTCGAACTGGGAGGTGCCTCTTTACCAACTTACGGTTTACCACCACCGCTCAGAGATGGTTTTGACACTGTACCAACTGAGTTATTGCGGGAAACATCCTACTCCATCGAGGGGCTGAATGCATACATTACCGAAAATGAGCCCAAACTTCTACCTGATCAGAGGGTTGCTTTCACTACTATAACAGACAGGGCAAACAGCGCCATTGGAGGTATATACTTTTTAGACGCGCCTGGAGGAACTGGCAAAACTTTTGTTACTAAATTAGTCCTGGCAGAGGTACGGCGTCGTGGGGAGATCGCTATTGCGGTCGCATCTTCCGGGATTGCTGCAACATTGCTACCGGGAGGTAGAACCGCTCATTCGGCTTTTAGGTTGCCACTTGATCTATGCCGGTCACAAACTCCTCTCTGCAACATAACAAAGAATTCGCCACAGGCTGAAGTTCTGCGGAGATGCAAACTTATAGTTTGGGATGAGTGCACGATGGCACACAAGGGCGCCCTTGAGGCACTTGACCGAAGTCTCCAAGACATCCGCGACTCCTCCGACCCCATGGGTGGAGTAATACTTCTCCTCGCAGGCGACTTTAGACAGACTCTAGCTGTTATTCCTAAAGGTACATGCGCTGACGCTGTCCATGCCTGCCTGAAGTCGTCTGCCCTTTGGCACCACGTGGAGACTCTTAAACTCCAGATCCGCTGACTTCGCACGGGAACTTCTTGCTCTTGGGGAGGGGAAAATGCCATCTGACACACACGGTTTTGTGAAGATGAATCAGCTTGCCACCACTGTTGAATCACCGGATGTATTGATGAATGCAGTCTTCTACAACCTATCATCTAATTTTGCTGATGCCGATTGGCTTGCTGGGAGGGCCATATTGGCACCGAAGAACTGTACAGTTGATTCCATCAACCTTAAACTGTTGGATTGCATTCCCGAGCAATGTCACGTTTATAAGTCCATTGACAGAACTTCCGATCCATCTGAATTAGCTGAGTATCCCATAGAAGTTTTGATGCTAATCAGGAATTTGCTCCCACCTAAACAGTGCAACGGGACTTGCCTCATTATTAAATCCCTTTCTCCGAACCTGATTGAGGCGACCATTGCAACTGGCTGCGGCAAGGGGGAAGTCGTTCTGATTCCCAGGATGCATCTTCTGTCGTCAGACGCAAGCATACCAATCAACTTTCGTCGCTCACAATTTCCCGTGAAGATTTGTTTTGCTATGTCGATTAACAAATCACAAGGACAGACGCTTAGCATCGCAGGTCTGCATTTACGTGAGCAGTGCTTCTCTCACGGCCAACTTTACGTTGGGTGCTCACGAGTTGGGTCTAAGGACAGGGTTTTCATTTACTCTCCCAACAACTGTGCTAGAAACATAATCTACACGGAGGTCCTGTAGACAACCCGCCCGGTAGCGTTTAAGCACCATGCACACATATGCAGTCTGATTGCATGGCAATTTTTTTGTTTGTCATATTGGTTTTAACGTTAGGTCATTATAGTCTCCACTTGCCATTACTAAGACGTCTTTGTAAAGGTTATCCAGCTCTTTTGCTGCCTTCTGACTTTCATACCATCACCTGCCATCATCGCGTTTGTTTTCCCTTCAATCCCTATGTATGTTGCAATTGAATCGTGGTTTCAGGACTACTTACCACAAGTGCTTTCAGTAATGCTTAACGATCCAATAGGTTAAAGCAGTAACTGCTGCCAGCTTTTACTCATAGATGTCTTAGTAATGGCAAACGGCTTTCCGTTACTTCCTTTGATACCTTCGAATACTTAGGCCTGCATGATGTGTGCATAGCATTTCAACGTTTTGTAGAAACTTAGTTCCTGTCGACTTACAAAGCACATCTTTCAAAGCAACAGCCGTCCCCAACTCTTACTGTTACATCCCAGGGCAACGCCGGGCTCTACTGCTAGTCAATAATAAAAACAACAATAGTAAAACAGTGATATAATAATATTAATAATATAATAATAATAGTTAATAGTAATATTAATAATAATAGTTAATAGCAGTAATAATAACAATAAAAGGTAATAGTAATATTAATAATATGATGAAAATAATATTAATATTAATAATATATTAATAATAGTATATATTGGTCTGAATAAAAAAAAACTATATTAATCTGGGTCAACGTGTTTGAGTAGGTATTTGTTTGTATGTATGCATAAGGTCATTAACTCACTTCTTTTCTTTAACAGATTAGGGTTATCTATATATTTTAGGATGACAAATTTTTCTAAAAGATATAAAATACATTTATTGCCTTTTTCGCTGCAAGGTTTGGCATTTTCTACGTAATCCCAGGTAATCATTGGGTTTCTATTGCTACTCTTTATTTTCCAGAAAAAATTAGAGAGGCCAGTGCTGTTGTTATATTTAATATTGCCTAATATCATTTGGTGATGGTAGAAATGTGATTTCCAATGGTTTTCAGCTGGACCAAAATAGAATTTCACCTTGTCATCATATTTTATGCTAGCTCCATAAATTATACCTTTAGTCATGCACTTGCCATTCAGCAGACAGGTCTTGTTTTTTCAGCAGTTGCATTCTTTAATTGTGGGGGTTATATTTCTTGTAGACTGGTTAAGTGCTTGTTTAATACAATATTGTTGTTTTTAGCACAATATAGATAAGTTTAACATTGTTTATATTGAATTTTTTTTAGTATTGGGAATGGCTAAAATGCTTATGGATTAAATTCAGGAAAAATCTTCCAATGTTGGTTCTGACATTGCTGCTAAAAGGTGGTTTAAATCATATGATATTGTGTTTATAGTGTTTCGGCTTGTTAATATCTTTTTTGTTTATTTCTAAGTGCCATATTTTTACTTTATGGTTACTTTGTTATAAGGCTTCTATGTATTTGCTTTTATATTTGTCAAAAATTTCCTTATTATTATTAATTGGACCGATTTATGTAAATTGTTTAGAATTCTAGGGTAGTGGTTAGACTGTTTGTTGACATATATAGTTGTATAGGTCTTTAGTATATGGTTTATAAAGTCCATTAGACTGGTCTAAGGTTACATCCTGGAAGTTGATCACTTTAGCATTAGTGGTGGCAGTGATACTTAGACCATGCTCTTTAAAGAATTTAATCAGGCTTTTTCTTAGTCAGTCTGTTTTTTGTGCACCTGTTTCATGCAAGAGGATTATACCATTGAGTCCAGTGATTCTTATATTGAAGATGAACTTTAGTCTCCAAAGTAGTACAATCTGAACTAATTCATAAGCTGAGTCAAACACACCTATAACAATGCAAATATCTGGCTTGTTTCCATTAGTTCACAGGCAACTTTCATAGAATAGAATGAGTTTTTGAGCCTGTTTTATGATATAAATATCCTAGTTGCTTATGGAGCAGTAATTATTAGCCAGATTTATCACAGCCATCAATAGCTCCTCGGTAATAGACGGGTAGAAGATACAAATATCAAATTGTATAAAAGAGAGTCTTGTCATTTTATTGATGTTGGATATTATTATTTTATATTTATTATTATTAGTTTGGAATTGTGATGATTATTATCATGTGATATGAAATTTGCTGTCTAAAATAACATGACTATTAGACATATTACTGTAACTCTTTTAATTCTGATCACC